TTTTTTAAAAAGAAAAAATATATTAATATTATCAATTTACAATAGTTTTTACAAGGTTTTTCAACAGCCAGCTATTTACAGTATTTCTCATGAAACAAAAGGATGTCAAAACTTCCCAGAGAGCTTGTTGCTTGACATACACTAGCTCTCAGACTACTATAAAAGAAAATAGTCCTCCAAAACTTATGTATTATGTACTTTAGAATAACACTAGGAACTTTACTTCCCAAAGAAAGTTTAAGTCAATCATACCTCTTTCACCTTGCCTGAGTCAATAACAAATACAACATCATTGACTGTTATGCTGGTTTCTGCAATATTTGTAGAAAGAATCTGCAATGAAAACAAAAAAAAACAGAAAAAAGCTGTAGTTAAAAGCAAAGACAAAACAGATCAATATATTGCCTAATGAAGTCCTCTGATACTCACTATTTTGCGAACGCCAGCAGGTGGACTTTTAAGCACTTTCTTTTGATCGAAAGTTTGCATATTTGAGTGAAGCATGAAAACCTGGTACCTAATGGAAGACAAAGAACACATTTTAAGTATCCTTTAAACAAGCAATGAAAAAACTCCGCCATAGAAGCTACAGGTTCTACCTGTGCGCATTATCAGCAAATCTTCTGTCATCAAAAAGAATACGGTCCCTCAGGCTAACTATCTCATCATATCCAGGAAGAAATATTAAAATCGCTCCTAGAAGAGAAGATGATTCACAAAGTTAAACAGAAAACGCACTTCAAATATATGTCAGTACTGTGTAGACTGGCACTTGGAGGGTTTTACCTATTTGGTATTTCTGAAAAAAGGGCAGGATTAATCAAAAGATGAATCTACAGTAATTTGTTGGGAGCGTGTGTGTATACCTACCAGCCCCACAATTATGACAGATGTTATAAAGTAAGTGCATAATCAGGTCCAGATCCACTTTTTCATCATCAAAACTGTGATGATAAGCCGTCAGCAGTTCTCTGTCCTCTGCACTAAGGTCACAACCACTTGTTTGGACCAGGGAACTTTCATCCAGATTTCCAAATCCCACTGAAGCACTAAAACACACAAATACACAGGCCAGAGTCAAAGCTATTTGCTTCAGGTTTGTGTTCAGCCACCGACTGAAACTTAGATCCAGAACAACAAGACTACTCCTTTTGAATCTTAGCTCTAAAGTGCAGCAGAACAACACCTCCAAAGTACTACTACTGTTCACTGATTCAAGTGTTAACCCAGCAAAGCATCCAACTTCAATTTTTTGCATTAAGTTTAATTTTCTTATATTTCATCGAAGCACAAACATAAGCAAAAGTGCCAGAACTCAAAGTGTAACAACACTACTTGTTTATCAGTTAGAGGAAAAATACTTAAAAGAAACATTTTTCTCCTATTAGTATGCGCAACACTAACAGAAACTACACTAAGACAAATTCTAACAGTACCGCTCTCTACAAAATGGTAAAAAAACTATGATAACCGTAAAGTAATAAAAAACCAGTTCTTGAATGGCCTAGTGCACTCCTACAAAGTTTCTTTAATGTGGCTATCATGTATCAACAATGTAAAGATAAGAACACACAACAGACTGGTTTTCAACATAACCAACTGAAACTAAAATGGGTCATGGTAGAATCAGGCTATCTGCCTATTTATTTACTGCAATCACATCCTACCTAGATATATAATCATGATACAAATGCCCACATCAAAATGACAAAAGTGAATAATATAAAAGAACTCTTCCACCACTGTAACTGTATCTATCCTAGGAGTTGGGCACACATAACCACTATGACACTGCATCAAGCACACCTTAAAAAAAATAAAAATCCATGCTTTTAAACATTCCTCTTCTCAAGTAAATCTTGCTATTGTTTCTGCAATTGTGTTACTGCTTACCTGTAGGATTCCAACAGGTCAACCACCTCTGTCTGTCCAAAGCGCTTAGCCCAATCCACAGCCATCCTGAAAGAGTTACATTTATTAAATTTCTCACTTCAAAAGACACATAGCCCATAGTCAAGACTGCATAATTAAAAATTCAATTTCGAATTTACAGAACACAATGTGATGAATGGAAGTTAAAAATTGTTTAGACTGTGAAAACCTATCATTGCTTACAGTAGTCTGATAAGTTAGCAATTACTTTAAATGTTATAGAAATTTCTCTTTTGTTTGTATATTGACAAATAAATCTATCTTTAGTTTATCTGCTTGTTTTTACCAGCCATTAGATGATCTGCAATGGATACTTGCTCCCATACTGATCAGCTGTTCTACTTGACTCAAAAATCCTCTCCCTGAAGCAATCATTAGGGCAGTTGCACTGGTTTCACTATGCCTATAATCAACTGAGAAGTATAAAAATAAAATAAATAAATTAGCAAACCCAATAAAAACATTATTACTTTTTCATCTAAATGTAGTATGAATATGACTTAAATGACTTTTAAAATCCACGCCAAAGAGAATTTGCCTCCTCACTTCATCCCACCACGCAGTTCATGTGAATTTAACACTACTTTAGAACACATCATAACATCTGTGAATACCCCAAAACAAGTACAATGACAAGTAACTAAACAATTCATTAATTCTGCTAGTTCTAGTTACTTTTTCAATAGACATTAGTATTCAAAGGTAACAACATTTGAAGCTGGAGATAAAGTAGCCACAGAAATTCAAGTCATTTTGTTGTTGCTTCTTCCTCATGTACTAAGATGAGAAACTTACCACTGATGTTTTCAGTTAAAATGAGATGGAACACCTGAGCAAAGGAATCAGTATCTTTATGCAACCAGATGTCAGAAAGACAAGAATCCATTTCTTTTATTAGCCATGGTTCAAGGCAAGTCACATCTTTTTCAGTCTGAAGAGAAAAAACAGAATTGAAAGATGAATGTCTTCCAACAGTTGTCTTTATCCTCATACATTACACACAAAGAAACTAAACAGTTAATTTTCTAAGTAACAATCAGAAATCCAGCATTCAGTTACCAGTTAAAGTATTTATTGTATCATATGCAAGTACTTTAGACAATGCCAGTTCAGCCACTGTGAAGCCATTCTGAAGAAAAGTTATTTAGAACCATTGCAATTGAAAAGCACACTTCAGCTAGAGTAGTTCATGATAACTGAAAAACATATACTTTAAAATATTAATACCCTTCAGGAAATTCTACAGGAGTAACATCTTTAGTAATGTGCATTTAGTTTTTAATGCACATTTAAATATACCTCCACAGAAAGGGAGATACTTACCAGTTGATTAAATACTGTGTCACCACCATCACCCAATAAATTACACTCTTCAGTTGCTCTTGGGACAGATCTTTGTCTCTGAAGATTCAGTTTGCTATAATTTTCTTGAGCAGAACACCACTCAGTAAGAGTGCTTTGCTGTTTTTCTTCTAGAACATATAAAGTATTTTCATTAAAAGTTTTACAGTCATCTTAATTATCCATGGTCTTCAGTTACAAAAAATAGGTATATCAAGTCACAAAGTTTAACCTATTCGAACTCTTCTTTAGTCTACAATGCTGGTACCAGCCCAATATAAATTCCATGACATCCAAAGTGCACCATTGCAAAGTTATCTGTTATAAGAACAAAGTAAAAAATACAATTTGGGTGCTTAACACCTTTAAGCCTCCAGTATTCCAAATTAATGCGCTCAAATGAGCTTTCCAAGGAACTATCTTCAACACAATTTTTAGTCCAGACCTTTCTCCAGAAGTGAAATACCAAAATGAAGTGATGTAACTCCTGCATGGAACAACTAATTTTCGTGTACAAGTAGAAGAAACAGGAGAAGACATCAGGGTCGTAATTGAGCTTTTCTATTGACGGTAATCAGAACTGAGCACCACAACAAACATGTAGTTAGGACTGTATGTTATAGCTTTGGGGCTTGCCTTTTTTTCTTTAGAACCTTTACTTTCATTACTCACTAGGATTAGGATCATTACTTTTAGCTGTCAGGAAAACATCTCAAATAATATATCAACTTAATCAATTGAAAAAACCCCTATATTTAGTTCAAGTGTGTTAATGCTTCCAGGCTACATATATTAAATACATCTATGTCTGAAGAATATAGTGAAAAATGCTGATAAGAGTAATGGCTTCTGTGCAAGGTCTACAAAATCCTGCCTCCTTTAACAGCTGCACTTTAATTTGCACCAAAAATCAGCATACAGTATCTTATACTCCTATAGTCTTCATGTGGGCAAAGTCTCCAATTATATGCAATTTACTCCATAATAATTAGGAAAGATGTAACATTTACTCATGGAAAGCAATAAGGACGCCACTGAAAAAAAGTGGAAATATTTTTTAAAATCATAAATACATCAACAATAGAACCACATAGTTCAAAGACACTTTTCATCTACTCATGTCTCATTTAATATTCTGACTTTGGAATCTTAACAGAGAATCATCCTGTTTGTTTTTAACTCAATCAGCGAGACTCACTGCCAACTCTTACAATTAAGAAGTCCACCAACCTTGCTGCTTCTCTTTTCTGTACTTTACCATCTCTTTGTTTGTATATCCAGTACTGCGTAAAATGTCCTCCAAAAACATCTCTTTAACTTCAAAAGGTCTTCCCTGGACTGAAAGTATAAAAAATTAATAAAAGATTAGATATTCCCTAGCTTCACTTATAATAGTAATTTTTAAATATCATTTTATAGACACAAAAAGTGAATTAAACATGACTGGGACCTGATTTAAGGTATTATTACTTTTCTTGAAATGTCTTGTAAGAGTTATCTTCACTTGAGTTTATTTTCTCAAAATGATTTGACACAAAACAAAAACAATTCAAAAGGTAAATGCCATCTGCATACCTTGTTTCTCATTAACTCTTTCAATTCTATTAAGTGTTATAGCAAGAGTGACAGTTATTTACTGTAATCCTATCAAAATTAGAAGAACAGCCATTTTGTATAGGGTATAAGGGACCTTTAAGAAATGTCTGTTTCGACGTTGCCTGGCCTTGATGACTTGGTGAAGGAGACCTAGCTGCCGAGATATCGAGGCACCATTGTCCTCCACCCAAATCCTCCAGCTAACAGACATTAGGAGCTGCCTAGATCATTGTCCACGACTGACATCACTTCTAGCTGCAGAGACCTCGAGGAATTGCTCAACTCAGGGAAACTCACCAGTCAGTACCCGACAGAGCCCTAGAAAAAGGACCAGCGTCCAGAGCATGGCGCACACTCATCACCAAAGAAAACAGAGCTATGGATCATCAGGATGCTGGTGG